ACACCTTGTTATCTCAGAATCTCCAGCATCAGCAGTTCCTGCTATCTCTTGACATATATGATCTGCCTGATCTGATTGAATGACAGGAGCAGGGTAGACTATTCAGCCTGTGTCCTGAAGAGGGTGAAAGAGCAAGGAATGGGTGCTTGGTGCTAAATGCACTAGGAGCCTGATCACTAATGTCCTTCAGGGAAGGAAATCTGCCATCCTCACTTGGTCTGGCCTACAAGTGACTCCAGACCCACAGCAATGTGGGTGATTCTCAATTGCCCTCTGAAATAGCCTAGCAAGCCAGTCAGTTATACCAATTGCTACAAAGTCTCAAAGAAATGAAACCAGACGGATCACGCATTGACCTAGGCACCAGAAAAGACAACAGCAGAAACAGCCCTGTTGACCCTGCAAAGTTCTCTTCACTAATATCCGGGGGCTAGTGCCAACATTTTGAGAGCTGTCTAGTTCAAGACTAGTCAAGCAACAGCCTGACATAAGTCATACTCATGGAATCATAGCTTATAGACAATGTCCCAGATACCACCATCACCGTCCCCAGATACGTTCTGTCTCGCCAGCAGGACAGACGCAGCAGCAGTGACTCCACAGTGGTATACGGTCAGGAGGGTTTTGTTCTGGGATTTCTCAACATTGACTCCGGACCCCATGAATTCTTATGGTTTCAGGTTAAACATGCGTAAGAAAACCTGCTGATTACCATGTACTGTTCTCCCTCAGCTGATAAATCACTATTCCTCCATGTTGAACAACACATAGAAGTAACACTGAGGATGGCAAGGGCACAAAGTGTACTCTACGAGGGAGATTTTAATATCTGCCACCAAGAGTGGCTCGGCAGCAGTGCTACCGATCGAGCTGGTTGGGTCCTAAAGGACATAGCTGCTAGACTGGGTCTGCAGCAGGTAGTGAGGGAACCAACAAGAGAGAAAAACATACTTGACCTCATCCTTACCAATCTGCTAGCTACAGATGCATCTTTCCATGACAGTATCAGTAAGAGCAACCACCACACAGTCCTTGTGGAAACTAAGTCTGGCCTTCACGTTGAAAATAGCCTCCATTGTGTTGTGTGGCACTATTGCCATGCTAAATGGGACAGACTTTGAACAGAACTAGCAACTTCAGACTGGGCATCCATGAGGCGCTGTGGGCCATCAGCAGCAGCAGAATTGTACTCCAGCACAATCTGTAACCTCATGGCATCCCCCACTCAACCATTACCATCAAGCCAGGGGATCAACCCTGGTTCAATGGAGAGTGCAGGAGGGCATGCCAAGAGCAACACCAGGCATACCTGAAGTTGAACTAAACAGCATAAGCAGCAAGTGATGTACAGAGCTAAGCGGTCCCACAACCAACAGATCAGATCTAAGCTCTGCAGTCCTGCCACATCTAGTCATGAATGGTGGTTTGCAATTAAACAACTCACTGGAGGAGGAGGAGGCTCCACAAATATCCCCATCCTCAACAATGGAAGACCCCAACACATCGGTTCAAAAGATAAGGCTGAAGCTTTCTCAGCAATCTTCAGCCAGAAGTCCAGAAGTGCCGAGTGGATGGTCCATCTTGGCCTCCTCTCATCATCCCCAGCATTACAGATACCAGTCTTCAGTCAATTCGATTCACTCCACATGATATCAAGAAACGGTTGGAGATACTGGATACTGCAAAGCTGCGGGCTCTGACAACATTCCAGCAATAGTACTGAAGACTTGTGCTCCAGAACTCGCCGCTCCCCTAGTCAAGCTGTTCCAGTACAGTTACAACACTGGCATCTAACCAACAATGTGGAAATTGTTCGTCCTGTCAAGTACGTCCTGTACATAAAAAGCAGGGCAATTCCAACTTGGCCAATTACTGCCCCATCGGTATACTTTCGATCATCAGTAAAGTGATGGAAGGTGTTATCACCAGTGCTATCAAGCAGCACCTGCTCAAAAATAACCTGCTCATTGATGCCCAGTTTGGGTTCCGCCAGGGCCTGACTTCATTACAACCTTGGTTCAAACATGGACAAAAGAGCTGAATTCCAGAGGTGAGGTGAGAGTGACAGCCCTTGACATCAAGGCTGCATTTGATCAAGCGTGACATCAAGGAGCCCTAGCAAAGCTGGAATCAATGAGTATCAGGCAAAGTCTTTGGTGGTTGGAGTCATACCTAACACGTAGGAAGATGGTGGTTGTGGTTATTGGAGGTCTGTGACCTCAGCTCCAGGACATCTCTGTAGGAGTTCCTCAGGATAGTATCCTAAGCCCGAGCTTCTTCAGCTGCTTTATCAATGACCTTCCCTTCATCATAAGGTCAGAAGTGAGGATGTTTGCCAGTGATTGCACCAATGTTCAGTACTATTCGCGACTCCTCAGGCACTGAAGCAGTCTGTGTCCAAATGCAGCAAGATCTGGACAATATCCAGGCTTGGGCTGACAAGTGGCAAGTAATATTTGGGCCACACAAATGCCAGGCTATGGCCATCACCAGTAAAAAACAATCTAACCACCGCCCCTTGACATTCAGTGGTGTTAATATCACTGAATCCCCCACTATCAACATTCTGGGCATTATTATTGATCAGAAGCTCAATTGGACTCACCACATAAATGCAGTAGCTACAAATGCAAGTCAGAGGCTAGGGATGCTACGGTGAGTAGCTCACCTCCTGACTCCTGAAAAGCTTTCCATCATCAGCGAGGCACAAGTCAGGAGTGTGATGGAATACTCCCCACTTGCCTGGATGAGTGCATTCCCAACGACACTCAAGCTTGACACCATCCAGAACACAGCAGTAGGCTTGAGTGGCACTGCATCCACAAGCATACACTGCCTCCACCACCGACGCTCAGTAGCAGCAGTGTGTACTATCTATAAGATGCACTGCAGAAATTCACCAAAGATCCTCTGACGACACCATCCAAACCCACGACCACTTCCATCTAGAAGGACAAGGGCTGCAGACATTTGGAAACACCACCACCTTCAAGTTCCCTTCCAAGGCACTCACCATTCTGACTTAGAAATATATCGCCGTTCCTTCACTATCGCTGGGTCAAAATCTTAGATTTCCCTCCCTATTGTCATTGTGGGACACCACACAGTAGGTGGATTGCAGCAGTTCAAGAATGCAGCTTATCACCACCTTTTCAAGGGCAACTAGGGACAGCCAATCAATGCTGGCCAGCTAGTGACACCCACATCCCACAAAATGAAGAAAAGAAATGATGAGAGATAAGAAGAACACTTAATCACTGATGTGAAGAAGCATGGTCATTTAAAACTTCTCCAATTTGAAAATTTGTTTCTCAAAGTCAGTGGGAAGACTTTTGAGTAAAGTTAGTTTTTAGTTTTCAAAATTCAGCCAACTTCCTTATTTCAGCTACTTCCTTTTAATCAAAAATTATTTCAAAATAAACTAACAGTAGACTATACCCATTAATAACTTAGCATTAGCAACTTTTCATAAAGTTTTTTGAAATATATCCTCACCTGAGTGAACCTGCCAGATGCAATGCAAGTTTACTCTTTTTCTAACAGCAATGAGGAAGTCTCTGTTATGTCTATGATAGGAGAGTTCACTGGAATCCTGTCACTGTGCAATATGTTACCTTCCACAAAGAAAATGATGTTTTTAAGTGGACTTGTGTACTTACTGATATTTACCCAGTCAGGAACAAACCTAGACTGGTAAATATTACATAAATAGGAACTGCAGTTCAGGGCTGTAATAACAATCTGTTGACCTGGAGGTCATTTTAGGACCTCAAAAAATTAACATGTTTTAATGCATTGTACCTTCACTTAGCAACAGTCCGAATTGTATATTCAATAAAAGCAAATGAAGTGATATCAGAAAAGCATCCTGTTTTCCCATGCAAAGAAAACATTCACTTACTGGAGAGAAAAGTTGAAAGATTAGTAATTACAATTATTCTCATCTCCAGCAATCGAGTTGTTGATAGCACTACTAGTAGCTGAGAAATAAATGTAATGTCTGTTCTCTCCAAGGTAATAATGGCATGGAAAGACTTCAAAAAGGAGAGTACATGAGGAAAAAAAATCATTAATGCTGTTTTTACAACGGGGCTGTAGTGTCCTAATGCATTAACTTTCAGTATTTATTCTTGAAAAGGATGCAAGTTTATTTGACTTTGTCGAGTGATGAATTTTGTGGTAAATATAAATTGTTTTTAATATGATGGAATATTTCACCAAATGTAAATCTCATTGCAAGAAAGAACCATCGAGCTCTGCTAAAAATGTGATATCTTCAATACACTGACTTGCCAGTGAAATCCAGCATAGCCCCCCTTAAGCAATTTCTGTTCTCATGTGAGGCTTCCTTGTGCAAGAAGAAACGAGGTAGTAGAGACAGCCTTCTGAGCTGTTTTGTACATGTGCCTGTCATGATCAAATAATGCAAATATTATGTAAAAGATACAAGGCATGGGAAATAAAAATACATTCATGCATTGAGATGGAGATGAGAGTGTATGGGAAGGGTAGTTATTTTTACAGATGTTAGGAGACACGTTGGCTTGTGTGTTAAGATATAAATTCCAAAATGTGACAACAGGTCTGGATCCCAACAGGTTTGCACCTTCTTCCCTGTTTCATCCAGTTGGGTTGTCGGCAAATGGGAACCCTTGTGTAACTATCTATCAAGATTTTTAAATGTTTTACACGTAATGAAATGTTATTAACAGATGGAGCACCTGTTTTTTTTTTACTTGTGAGCAGTTCTACAGGGACACTAAAGTGAAATTGAAGGACTGGGAAGTCTTTAATCAGTGTACCTGAACAGGACATGATCCATGCTAGCTACATCCATACTCTCAATAGCAACTTTTCTGACCTTCTTTGAGAAAGCAATGAGAAATAGTTTAAAGGTCTGATATGCAGCTCAGCTTCAACAACCCAATCGATGTCTGAAAATTACAATTTAAAAGTAATGCAAGGTTTGAATTTATTTACTTTATTTCTGTTCTGTACAGGTCCGTGAATTAGGTGGCATTCCAGTCATTCTGGACAACTGCAGCATTGATGACAACAATCCTTGTATCCTTTTCTGCAATTTATATCCTCATCTTTTGATTCACTTTCATCACCTCAGCCGAGCATTTTCTTTCATACTACTTCCCCATAAAAGGCGAGATATATGTTTCAGTGTTTAAATTTGATGTCCTTATCGTCTTTCAGTTCTCCGGAATGTCAGGAATTGAAACAGTAAAATGAACTGTAGTAGTTTCACAGGGTTCCAGGTTCAAATCCTATTTCAGCGCACAAGCACAAAAATTAAACATGCTCCAGTGCAATCTTTTTGGGAGTGTTGCATTATTGGAAGTGCCATCTTTTGTAAAAGATGTCAAACTGAGGCCCCATCGACTTTCTTGGTCAGTGTTAAAGATTCTGTGGCACCATGTCCAAGAAAAATCTGGCAGTTATCGTGGTGGCCTGGCCAATACTGCTGCCTCATTTAACATCATAAAGGCAAAAGATCATCTGATCTTTGGCACATGGTTGTTTTGGAACTTGCTGTGTGCAAAATAGCTGCCATGTTTCCTATATTTCAATAGTGATTATATTTCTAATAACAAGAAACTTATTAAAATTTTGCATTTAGCTTCTCTGATATGCTTTCACAATATTGAAAAGTGTTATTTTCTGATATGAAAAAACTGGTATTTTGGTGAAATTTGAGATGAAGTAAATATCACAGTGTTTTGTTTTAGCTTCCTCTTTAGGTCACATGGTTAGACTGGTTTCCTTATGACATCAGGCCAAAGACCATACAACACCAGGTTACAGTCTAACAGGTTTATTAACCTGGTGTCGTGTAATTTTTGACCTTGTCCACCCCAGTCCAACCCCAGGACCTCCATACTGTGAGATCAGGACCTAGAGTTCATCGGTAGACAAAATAGGCAGTGGCATTTACCTGAAATTTCAAAATGGCATACGACCTTCTCTTTGTAAGTTTAAAAAAAGGCACAGTGAAGATTGTTCATGTTGGTGATTTGTTATTTTGTTGTATTTGGAAGCCCAGTGTGGAAATTGAAACATTTTTTACTTACTTTATATCAAATCCTGAACTAAATAGTTAACTTGTATTGAGCTGTCAAGAGTTAGTTCAAAAAAATGTATTTACCAAAAACACCTCTATTCACCAAGAAGTTAGCTTTCTTCGTCCTTTAGCTTCCACAGAAATAAATGATTGCCTGATCATTCAACTAAGAAAATTAGTGAGGAACAAAGTAGGTGACATTTTCCCATTTTCACTTAAAGTAATTTGTCGAGTGAGATTCATGGTATCCAGTTTGCCACAGTTTAGAGTAACTTTGCTCACGTAATCTTCTGCGCTTCATCTTTTTAATTATGCAACTGAGCTTCGGGGTGCCTCAGTGGGCAAAAAGTGCCCACCATTTCTCAGATCTTCCACATTCATGCTGCTGTCAAATGCACACCAGTTGAGAGCTTCAAAGCAGGAAGTGGCCCGTGTGGTGTGATGCTTCTCTGATATCACCAAGGACGTGGCCCAGAGGAAGTCAAAGCTCACTCTTTGCTTTGAGGGCAGGACGTTGGTAGACAGAATGGTGGAGAGGAGGACAGTTCTCCCTACCATAACAGGCATCACCATCAGACAAAGCCAACTGGACCTAAATTGTCACCTCGCTCCAAAAAACAGGACTTGCACAGGTCCTGGCACACTTCCTCGATCTCCAACAATGTGGCGACCAGAGGATTTAACTAAATGTTTTATTGTGTGCAAAGAGCCAGTAACCCAGCCTGCTAACTTAACTTTGGAACATCAGACTGAAAAAGAAAAATTAATAGCAGTTGGAGACAATCTAAAACTGTCAGAATTAAAGTGCTGCAAAGTTAGATATGTATTCTTGAATGGAAATTAGAGTTTAAAAACTAGGAGGCAGTGACTTTTGGCAGGTAGGAATTGGACAAAATTCAAACGAAGTGGGGAAAAAGGAATCAAAGTTCATGAACCGAATAAAGAAGAATATCAAACTTTCTTAGCTGAACAACATAACATAACCTTAATGAAGTTCTTAAAGGAGGTAAAAATGATTTTGCTCGGCAGAAGATTAAGCTGGGTGCAAAATTAAGTAATGGTAAAGCTGAGATTCCTAGAGGAAAAATAAAATGTTGCATTGATGAAAAGTTTGGAAATAAAGGGATCCTGAATTTAAACAAGCTGAGAATTCAGTTCTTGTGAAGAAAAACACTTAGATGTTTAACTGGTTGATACTTTTTCAAACTTGTCTAGCAAAAACCTTGAAGAAAATTGAAAACCCGGAGCTTAAAAACTGAAGAGTGCTGCAGAGTCTGTTTTCAAGCAATAGAAACCCTGATGACAACTCGGTGTCTAACTATAAAATAAATTGTTGAATCCAAAAGGTAAGAAGCAATATATCAGGAGATGTTTTTTCCTTGGATTTCAATTTATGGTCACCAGTATTGAGAAACAAGATGGTTTCTCAGCAATCACCAATGTTGTTGTTCTCAAAGTTAACCAGACCAAATAAATTACAAACTGGTGGACCCATCACAAACGACTGAACAAAAAGCAATAAAGAATTTTGTTTTAAGAATAGTGCAAAATGAAGGTACTATCCAGTGCTCATCAAACATTTTATTCCCTTTAAATGCCTTCGCAGAGTGTAATCTATTGTTTGGACAGCTGTGGCCATTTTGAATCGGGGAGGTAATCTATCTGGGGAATCTAATTGGTTTTAAGGATATTTGAAAGAGACTTTTTAAGGGTTTGCGTGGATTTTAAAGAGACCAGTTCTGATTTTCTTGAATATTAAGAAACATGTGTCCATGTAACTGAGCAACTTTCGACCTGGAAATCGTGCCAATAGGAATGAAGTTAACTTATGAAAGTGTGTGGCCAGATGCAAATTTGGGGCTGCTACAGAAAGAAATTGTTAGTGGCCACAAAAGAAATCTTTGTTTACATGGGCATGCAACATACGTCTAACTGAGCCTCTGATTCTTTTCTGTTCATCATTAAGCAGTACACCATTAATATAAACTGATACAAGCATTTTTTGAAAAAGCAACAAGGCCTACTCTTGAGTAGGCTCAACAATGATTTAAATCCTGTTGGCATCTGAGGTAGTCAAGGCCTAAATCTTGTGTTACATTTCAGAACAGAAGTTACAGAAATTCTATTGAGTTCAGCCAGATTAATACAGCAGTAAAAAGAAAAGTGACAATTCCATAATTTATTGAAAATGGCTGTTTTTTAACTTCTTTACCTTGGTTTGTTCTGATTTCCAGAACCATCCACAAAATTTGCACTGAGAAAATCTAAATAATGTTCTAGTTGACAAAAAGAAACTTGATTCTCCAATCTTTGCAGATTGGCCATTTTGAACCAGGTCAAGGCAATGAGTATTGCTGCAAATGTAGAATCACAGGTACAGCAATGCCAAAAATATCTTCTTGATGGTCCCACCTTTAAAAGTGATATCTTAAATAAACCAGCTGGAGTTTTACAATGACAGTGCTTTAATAAAGGATTTTCCTTGGATCTGATATTAAACATTTAGCTTGGCCACTAATGTTTTACTTGAACCTGTTCAACAAAGTAGTTACTTGGACTCAAATATACTTTTCACTCAAATGTACTTTCACTGAATGCTATCATTTTCAATTGATAGACACTATATAGAATTTGCTACAACCCACATTTGGATCATACAATTTCACCACCTTTATGCAATTGTTGACCGAGAAACACCTGTCAGATCATCAGTTAGGGGAGGCAGTGGCCTAGTGGTATTATCGCTGCACTGTTAATCCAGAGATCCAGTTAATGTTCTGGGGACCTGGGTTCAAATCCCACCATGGCAAATGGTAGAATTTGAATTCAATAATTATCTGTAAATAAGAATCTAATGATGACCATGAATCCATTGCCGATTGTCGGGGAAAAACCCAGCTGGTTCACTAATGTCCTTTAGGAAAGGAAACTGCCATCCTTGCTTGGTCTGGCCTACATGTGACTCCAGACCCACATCAATGTTGTTGAGTCATAACTACCCTCTGAGCAATTAGGGATGGGTAATAAATGCTGGCCTAGCCAGTGACATCTTTATCCCATCAATGAATAAAAACAACAGTTTCTGTCTTGGCCTCCATCACTTTGACTATAGTTCACATTGTACAAAGTTGCCTCCCTTCCACCTTTCTTGAGATTTTCCTTGGATCTGATATTAAACATATTTATCTGTGCATTTCAGCTCCCTTATTGTTGCTGCTTTGTCTCTCCATAGTTTTCTGTGGTCAAAAGAACAAATGAATTTGAATCATTATGACGTCTTTGATAGTACGATAGAAAAATGTAGGAAATCGGTCGCATTGATATGAAGTGGTAAAATTCTGCATTTCTGTTGTTTGGCTGTGCATGTTTCAGATTGATTGTAATTCTTTACCAGCACTTCCACCCACAAGATCTTGAAGTTTGAAAAGTCCCTGTAAATCATTGACTTGAGAAAGACAGGATGAGCTTATTATGAACCTCTTCATCAATTAGGTTATCTGTAGGCTTGTCACTTGACTGCTGTTATCTCCATTGTCTGAATTAGGTAGTGTGTTCTAGGAATGCCTCATGGGTTAATGAGAATGAATTGTTATGAATCTAAGATTTAAATAAAGGTGCAGGCAATGCTGACCAAAAGGTGTAATTTTGTTGAAAGGACATAAAAAGCCAATGTCTGAAAACAACATGTATAAAGGCTTCATTACATTTTTGAATTTAGCATGGAAAATGCCTCGACAGTGATTGGAAAAGAGATTAATTTAAATTAATGATTGAACTTTTGCAATGTGTAAAATCACTGCTTTATCATTTAGCACAAAAGAGCAGTGGAGGCACCCAAGAGAGGTCTGTAGATCAGAATTTCCACTTCTTTTGATGGTAGCGCACCACTGAAGTGAAAAGTGTATAAGAAAAATTGAGATTAAAATATGAATCATGGATCCTTTCTGACTATAAACTACACAATGTAAGCTTCTCAAGTCACTTTAATTTGTAG